ATCTCTCACCGCGGCCGCTATCCGTGACGGTCGCCCAGGCACAGCAAGCATGCCATAGTCTCGACACCATAGGGGGTGCGCACGGGGTGGTCTCTCACCGCGGCCGCTATCCGTGACAGTCGTCCAGGGCACAGCAGGCATGACATATTCTCGACAGCGTAGGGGGTGCGCGAGGGGTGGTCTCTCACCGCGGCCGCTATCCGTGACGGTCGTCCAGGGCACAGCAGGCATGGCATATTCTCGACACCATAGGGGGTGCGCAATGGGTGGTCTCTCACCGCGGCCGCTATCCGTGACAGTCGTCCAGGGCACAGCAGGCATGCATATCGACATATTCTCGACGTGACCGTAGGGGGTGCGCAGGGGGTGGTCTCTCACCGCGGCCGCTATCCGTGACGGTCGTCCAGGGCACAGCAGGCATGGCATATTCTCGACACCATAGGGGGTGCGCAAGGGGTGGTCTCTCACCGCGGCCGCTATCCGTGACGGTCGTCCAGGGCACAGCAGGCATGGCATATTCTCGACACCATAGGGGGTGCGCAGGGGGTGGTCTCTCACCGCGGCCGCTATCCGTGACGGTCGTCCAGGGCACAGCAGGCATGGCATATTCTCTGCGCAGGGGGTGGTCTCTCACCGCGGCCGCTATCCGTGACGGTCGTCCAGGGGGTGGCGCAGCGGGGTGGTCTCTCACCGCGGCCGCTATCCGTGACGGTCGTCCAGGGCACAGCAGGCATGGCATATTCTCGACACCATAGGGGGTGCGCAAGGGGTGGTCTCTCACCGCGGCCGCTATCCGTGACGGTCGTCCAGGGCACAGCAGGCATGGCATATTCTCGACACCATAGGGGGTGCGCAGGGGGTGGTCTCTCACCGCGGCCGCTATCCGTGACGGTCGTCCAGGGCACAGCAGGCATGGCATATTCTCGACACCGTAGGGGGTGCGCAGGGGGTGGTCTCTCACCGCGGCCGCTATCCGTGACGGTCGTCCAGGGCACAGCAGGCATGGCATATTCTCGACACCATAGGGGGTGCGCAGGGGGTGGTCTCTCACCGCGGCCGCTATCCGTGACGGTCGTCCAGGGCACAGCAGGCATGGCATATTCTCGACACCATAGGGGGTGCGCAGGGGGTGGTCTCTCACCGCGGCCGCTATCCGTGACGGTCGTCCAGGGCACAGCAGGCATGGCATATTCTCGACACCATAAGGGGGTGCGCAGGGGGTGGTCTTTCACCGCGGCCGCTACTCGTGACGGTCGTCCAGGGCACAGCAGGCATGGCATATTCTCGACACCATCGGGGGTGCGCAGGGGGTGGTCTCTCACCGCGGCCGCTATCCGTGACGGTCGCCCAGGCACAGCAAGCATGGCATATTCTCGACACCATAGGGGGTGCGCAGGGCGTGGTCTCTCACCGCGGCCGCTTTCCGTGACGGTCGTCCAGGGCACAGCAGGCATGGCATATTCTCGACACCATAAGGGGGTGCGCAGGGGGTGGTCTCTCACCGCGGCCGCTATCCGGGACGGTCGTCCAGGGCACAGCGGTATCGGCGGGGCAACGGCCGCCAACATCATTCTCACATGCTTCACTTCAGCTCTCATCACTCCAACCGTAATATAAGTATGTGGGGTTCCACGGTAGCGTAATTGAAGGCGTTCGGTCCCGATAGCTCTCGGGGGCCCGAAACCGGCGAACAGCAAAATTACCCAGGCGACGTACCCAACCCCTGCGCAACACGGGGCATGAGTAGCTTGGGAGACGTTTTACGGAGGTGATGACGTGACATGGGCGCATCTACTTCTGCAAGCGGCATTCGTGAGGCTCGCAACACCCCAGGGATTGCGATGTCCCGCTCAGATCTGCCTGGTGCCTCGCCCCGTTGGACCCACCAGCAGCCCTCGAAAGTGGCGACAATTTCGCAGATCGCAACACCCCAGGGACGGCGAGGTCCCGCTCAGGCCCGCGCGGTGCCTCATTCCGCAGGAGCCACCATCAGCCCTCGAAAGTGGCGACAATTTCGCAGATCGCAGACCCCCCCCAAGGACGGCAAGGTCCCGCTCAGGTCCGCGCGGCGCCTCATTCCGCAGGAACCACCAGCAGCCCTCGAAAGTGGCGGCCGTTTCGCAGATCGCAGCCCCCCCCCCCAAGGACGGCGAGGTCCCGCTCAGGTCCGCGCGGTGCCTCGCTCCGCAGGACCCACCACCAGCAGCCATCGAAAGTGGCGACGATTTCGCAGATCGCAGCCCCCCAAGGACGGCGAGGTCCCGCTCAGGTCCGCGCGGTGCCTCACTCCGCATAACCCACCAGCAGCCATCGAAATGTGCGACAATTTCGGAGATCGCAGCCCCCCAGGGACGGCGAGGTCCCGCTCAGGTCCGCGCGGTGCCTCACTCCGCAGGACCCACCAGCAGCCCTCGAAAGTGGCGACGGTTTCGCAGATCGCAGACCCCCCCCAAGGACGGCGAGGTCCCGCTCAGGCCCGCGCGGTGAAAAGTGGCGACAGTTTCGTAGATCGCAGCCCCCCAGGGTCGGCGAGGTCCCGCTCAGGCCCGCGCGGTGCCTCATTCCGCAGGACCCACCAGCAGCCCTCGAAAATTGCGGCCGTTTCGCAGATCGCAGCCCCCCAGGGACGGCGAGGTCCCGCTCAGATCCGCGCGGTGCCTCACCCCGCATAAGCCACCAGCAGCCCTCGAAAGTGGCGACACGTTCGCAGATCGCAGCCTCCCAGGGACGGCGAGGTCCCGCTCAAGTCCGCGCGGTGCCTCACCCCGCATAAGCCACCAGCAAGCCTCGAACGTGGCGACAATTTCGCAGATCGCAACCCCCCAGGGACGGCGAGGTCCCGCTCAGGTCCGCGCGGTGCCTCACCCCGCAGGACCCACCAACAGCTCTCGAAAGTGGCGACTGTTTCGCAGATCGCAGCCCCCCAAAGACGGCGAGGTCCCGCTCAGGTCCGCGCGGTGCCTCACCCCGCAGGACCCACCAGCAGCCCTCGAAAGTGGCGGCCGTTTCGCAGATCGCAGCCCCCCAAGGATGGCGAGGTCCTGCTCAAGTCCGCGCGGTGCCTCACCCCGCAGGACCCACCAGCAGGCCTCGAAAGTGGCGACAGTTTCACAAATCGCAGCCCCCCAGGGATGGCGAGGTCTAATTTGGGTCTGCGTGTGGCGTCACTGTGCTGGGCCCCCCAGCAGGCCTCGTACGTGGCGACAGTTTCACAAATCGCAGCCCCCCACGGATGGCGAGGTCTAATTTGAATCTGCGTGCGGCGTCACTGTGCTGGGCCCCCCAGCAGGCCTCGAAAGTGGCGACAGTTTCACAGATCGCAGCCCCCCAGGGATGGCGAGGTCTAAGCGTCACTGTGCTGGGCCCCCCAGCAGGCCTCGAAAGTGGCGACAGTTTCACAGATCGCAGCCCCCCAGGGATGGCGAGGTCTAATTTGGGTCTGCGTGTGGCGTCACTGTGCTGGGCCCCCCAGCAGGCCTCGAAAGTGGCGACAGTTTCACAGATCGCAGCCCCCCAGGGATGGCGAGGTCTAATTTGAATCTGCGTGTGGCGTCACTGTGCTGGGCCCCCCAGCAGGCCTCGAAAGTGGCGACAGTTTCACAGATCGCAGCCCCCCAGGGATGGCGAGGTCTAATTTGAATCCGCCCGTGGCGTCACTGTGCTGGGCCCCCCAGCAGGCCTCGAAAGTGGCGACAGTTTCACAGATCGCAGCCCCCCAGGGATGGCGAGGTCTAATTTGGGTCCGCGCGTGGCGTGGCGTCACTGTGCTGGGCCCCCCAGCAGGCCTCGAAAGTGGCGACAGTTTCACAGATCGCAGCCCCCCAGGGATGGCGAGGTCTAATTTGAATCTGCGTGTGGCGTCACTGTGCTGGGCCCCCCAGCAGGCCTCGAAAGTGGCGACAGTTTCACAGATCGCAGCCCCCCAGGGATGGCGAGGTCTAATTTGAATCTGCGTGTGGCGTCACTGTGCTGGGCCCCCCAGCAGGCCTCGAAAGTGGCGACAGTTTCACAGATCGCAGCCCCCAGGGATGGCGAGGTCTAATTTGAATCTGCGTGTGGCGTCACTGTGCTGGGCCCCCCAGCAGGCCTCGAAAGTGGCGACAGTTTCACAGATCGCAGCCCCCCAGGGATGGCGAGGTCTAATTTGAATCTGCGTGTGGCGTCACTGTGCTGGGCTCTCCAGCAGGCCTCGAAAGTGGCGACAGTTTCACAGATCGCAGCCCCCCAGGGATGGCGAGGTCTAATTTGAAGTGCGTGTGGCGTCACTGTGCTGGGCCCCCCAGCAGGCCTCGAAAGTGGCGACAGTTTCACAGATCGCAGCCCCCCCAGGGATGGCGAGGTCTAATTTGAATCTGCGTGTGGCGTCACTGTGCTGGGCCCCCCAGCAGGCCTCGAAAGTGGCGACAGTTTCACAGATCGCAGCCCCCCCAGGGATGGCGAGGTCTAATTTGGGTCTGCGTGTGGCGTCACTGTGCTGGGCCCCCCAGCAGGCCTCGAAAGTGGCGACAGTTCACAGATCGCAGCCCCCCGCAGGCAAGACAGGAGGAGGCAAGAGGGGGGCAGGAAGGAGGGAAGGAGGGAGTGGAGACCACACTGCTCTATTCAAAACGAATACCCAACCAAGGAGGGTTGGGAAATAACGAAAAAGCGGGCGTCTCGATTTTTTCGCGCTGTCGGATGTCTGGCATCCATCGTCCCTCGATCCCTCGATCCCACCCCTCCGGCGGGTCGGCCTCCCTGGGCGGCGAGCCAAGTACAGGCGACGCAGGCCACTGCATAGGGGGGACCAGTTCAGCGGGCGAAGCATGGACCTGGAATCGGCGATACATCGCCGATGGATCAGCGTTAGGCACTCCTGTGGTTCCTGGGCGGGTGGGCTTTCAGGCCCCCGTCGGCGATCGATGGGCGATTCGAGGTCGATGCGTCCCCCCCTGAGCCGATCCCCCCCCGGACGTTGCCCCTCAGCCCCGCCCCCCGCCCCCCCCCAGGCAGGGGTCGGCCTCCCCAGGCGGCGGGCTCGTGTCGCGGGGCGCGGCGTCCAGGTCCCCCGGCGGGCCCGTCATGGGCGGCGGGCCCTCCAGCGCGCCTGCACCCCACAGACGGGCTTGTCTGTTGGCGGCGCACACCGATGGGTGGAGTGAGGGGGGAAGGCTTCTTAGAAGGATGCTGCTTCTGGGAAAGCGCCGTCCTTACATCAATGGACAAAGCCAGCGCCTTCTAAGAAGCAAGGGTGCTTCTACGAAGCCCAGCCCCCTGGCCCACCTCCCTCTGCGCATGGCGGATACCAGCTTGTCTGTTCCGCATCCCCGCGTCCAGCGCACAGTGCAAGCAGGGAAAGACACGAGCGACTGCGAACTACACGCGCAAGCGCAACATGATTGGTGCCTCACCCCGTTCCCCATGCTCTCTCTCCTGCCAATCTTCTTGCATGTCTCATCGACCCGTTCGTTACGGCAACATTTCGGTGCAAAGCCGGTACTCTTCAAATCAACCAACGCTCTGCTTGACAACGACGACGTGCGCCTTCAGCTGCTATTCCTTTGATATTGTCATCATTCCTGGGTTTGGAACAATCAGGGCGACTTGTTAGTACTTTCCGCCATCTGGAGAACAATTTCGGGCTCTTCGAACGTTGTGCATCTAATCAGAACGAAAATCTTGCCTCCGCCGCCGTCAAAGGAACCTCCTCCTCCTTCTCCTCCGCCGTCCCTCCCCCTCCTCCGCCACCGTCAAAAAATCTTCTGACTGCTCCTCCCGGTCACACGGCCGAATACGGCCAGAAACCTCCTGCAGTGATTTTTCTCACGACGCGAGCATGTCTGGGGGAGGTGGAGATGGAGGAATATTCTGGATCAATTAACATGGGATCGGGAAATCGGATCGAAACGGAATCTGCGTCGGATCGGGCCGCATCGGCACGGAGTCGGAATCAAATCGGTTCGGCCGCGCCAGGATGCACAACGACGCCGTGCAACATCGAACTGTTTTGACTCGTCGGATGAGCTGAACATCGGGATCGAATCGGATCGAGCCAGCCTAAATCGATGTATCGAATCGGACTGGTCGGATCGAAAGGGATCTAGGCATCTGGAGGATGCTGCGAGCCGCCAGGGACGCACTGATCTGGGCCAATGCAAGCCCGGGTCCGTTGGGCTTTGCAGGATCCTGCAAGATCTTGCACGCAAGCCCAGGTCAGTGCAACCTTGGCTGTGCAGGATCCTGCAAAATCCAGCGCTCTGGCTGACCCCCGTTTGAATTGACCCCTGTCTCAAGGCTCCCGAAGCCGAGCCAATCCCAGGATTCCCCATTCTTTTTACTAGTTCGTTTTCTTCTCCACTTTCCATATTTTCAATATTTTCCTGGAAACCGACGATGCTTTGTGTCTGTTTCCGTACCCACTTCGCTCGGCTACACGCAAGAGTGACCCTAGGCAAGAGCGAACTTTGGTGCGCGTCTTTCGCGGGGCGCAGAGGGGGGCAAACCCGAGCGAGGAAGCCGCTCCTGTCGCATCGTACTCGGCCATCTGGGGACCCCAGTGTGCCCGCACCAAAAGTCACTTCGACGAAAAAGTCATCACTCTTAACGTGTAGCCGACTCGATCGTTTCGAGAAAAGGACCCTGGGACCCTGAGAAACGGGTCTTGCGGGAGACGACATAGCGACCTTGCGCGGCGGCTTACGCGGGCCGCCAGCGCAGCACGCTACGTTGGCAACGAGGGCGCCTACGCGCGACCTTACGCTGGCAGTTTCCGCGGCAATGCCGTTGAAGACGACCCCATTTTTCTGCGTCGCTCCCTTCGACCGTCCCGAGAGAGGGACCCGGGGACCTTGAGGCTGCTCGGCTACACGCAAGAGTGACCCTAGGCAAGAGTGACCTTTGAAGCGCGGACTAAGGGGGGCGCAGTGTGGCCAAATCCAGGCGCGCAAGCAGCCACCATCGCATCGCGCTCAGCGATCGGGGGGACCCCGATGAGCCCGCAACAAAAGTCACTCCGGAGAAGGGTCCCTCTCACGTGTAGCCGAGCAGGCTGCAGGGAGCCGAGGCCGCCACTCCCCACCGGCCCCTCCTGGCGTTGGCCCCAGCTGCGGGGGGCCGCCGCCGGGCCCCGGCGGCCCGCCTGGCGGCCCGCCTGGCGGCCCGCCTGGCGGCCCTGGCATGCCTGGCCGGGGCGGGCTTCTCCCCGCCTCCCGCCTGCCGCCTCTGCCGCGGCAGCTGCTCGACCCCTCCCCTGGCAGGGCCCTGCCCTCCCTCCTCCTCCTCTTCTTCTTCCTCCTCCTCCTCCTCTTCGTCGTCCTCCTCTCCAAGGACCGAGATCTGTAGCCCCAACCTCCTGTGCAGTCGGGCGCCAACCGATCACAAATGTACCAGTGCGCGCCGCAGGTCTGCGAGAGGCCTGGCGAGGAGAGACAGAAGGGATGGAAGGACGGAGAGACGCAGGGTCGGACGGGCGCACCCCAGACATGCTCGCGTCGCGCAAAAGCCACGGCGGGAATTTTTCGGGAGTGTTCGGCCTCGGGGGGCCCTCGCTGGGTGTCGGGACAATCGAAAAACGACTCGGGGTGAACAACCAGCCCTGGGGAACCAGTCGGAACTTCCGGGGACCGCGAATGGACCAAATCAACATGTCTGGGGCTTGTCCCTCGTCTGGCGGGGCCCAATCATCCCTCCTCCTCCTTCGCCTCCGTTTCCTCCTCTGCCGGTCCACCTCGTGCCCCCCTCGTCCCTCGCCCATGCCCGCTCCTCTTTCCCTCCGCCCCCCTGCTCCCCCAAACGTACGATGTCTGTTTTTTTCAAAGCGCGGTTCCTGGAAGTCCTGGTCTTTCGCCAAGGCCGGCCGGCTCTTTAACCAGAGTCAATTCTTGATGGCCCTGAGGCCCAGCGAGGGCCCCCAAAGGCTGAAAACAGCCCAAAACTCCCGCTGTGATTTTTGCGCGTCGCGAGTATGTGTCTGCCCGTCCCTCCGTCCCTCCGTCCTTCCAATCCCTTTGTCTCTGCTCGTCAGGCCTCTCGCAGACCTGCAGCGAGCACTGGTAAATATATGATCGGCCGACGCCCGGTTACAAAGGACATTGGGACTGCAAATCTCAATCCAATCGCGTATTCGGACATGCCCGCGCCGCGACAAAATTGCGACAAGACGTTTTCGGCCGTTTTCGCCGTTTTCGGTCCCCCGGGGCCCTCGCTGGACCTCGGGGCAATCGAAACACGCCTCAAGATGAAGAACCAACGCTTGGGAACGGGCCGGGACTTCCGGGGACCGCGCATTGAACAAATGAAGACATCGTCATTCTCGGTAGGGCGGAGGGCCCGAATACAGAGGGCTCAAGTATGACTCTGCCGTGCCTCTTCGGGAACCCTTGGTAGAGCCATCGCGCCCAAGACTGGCCCACGGCGCGCCGCGTAGAGCTGTGATTATACCGCCTGGGGGGCCGCGAATGTCTTGCGGAACCATGGTCCGAGCCTGCTCGAGCAGAGCCATTGTCCGAGCCTGATAGGGGAAAGCTCGGTAGAAACATCCTGCACGCGGCTTGATGCCGAATCGGCACGGTGGCCTGGTTTGCTGCAGGCAGCTGGATGCAGCTGAGCTAACTAAGACCAATCCGATTAATCGTATAGCTCTTAATTGTTCCGCTTCAGGTGATGCAGCAACTCCCCCATGACCGCTAACGTGTCAATTTCAATGTTTGTGTGTGTGCATGTGTGTGAGTGCTGCTAATGCCGCTATATTCTCTTGCTGGCTTCATCAACCAAGGGAGTGGATGGACGGTAAGGGGAGGGCGAAAGAAAGCGAAGGGCCCCCCTTCCCTCTCCCCCCCGTTCCGTCCAAGCCTCCTGAACTCTCACGTCTCCGGAAGTCAACACATGTGTATATGTGTGTATATATATACATGTATATAAATAACCGAGGAACGTCGACGAGTCGAAGGAAAACCCTTCCCCTTTAATCCCTCTTCTGCCTGGGGGGGCAAGGGGGTCCCCGGGGGTGGTCCAGGGGGGGTGGTCCTTGGGGTTGTGATCCCTCCCGGGGTCCCCGAGGGTGGTCCCGAGGGGGTCCTGGAGGTGTTAAGGGTTGTCTGGGAGGGTCCGAGGGGTTGTGACGCATCTTTGGGAACTCGAGAAACGTTGCCATCGAGTCGAAAGGAAGCCTCTTCCCTTTGATTCCTCCCCCGCCCGCTGGGGAGGGGTATCCCGGAAGTCGTGACCCCCTCCCGGGGGGAGCACCCCTCTCTTGGAGAAGCTGTCCCGTTTGATCTCCCCCGTGGTTTCTTTGGTTCCCGCGCCTCCTGCTCCTCCTCCTCTTCCTCCTTCTTCTCCTCGTCCTAACGAACATCAGGTTCGGCGGCAAAAAGCCGTAAGGCCTTCGCAACGCATGAGCAGAAACTTTCGGAGGCCCGCGCGGACTTCTTGTGCCGGCGCTGGACTTCCCTCCCTAGCGGGGAGGGGGGGCCCAGCGCTGGGAAGGGGAGCTCCCACTCTGAGCTGAAGGGGCCCAGGGGCCCAGGAACACACACCCACACACACACGCACGCACACACACACAGACGCACACACAAACATACAGACACAGACACGCACACACAAACACACACAAACACACACACACATACCACACATACACACAAACACAAACACACACACAC